TCCCACGCAGAGCCCCATTCCCGGCGGGGAGGGGGCGCCGGAACTCTGCTCTCTCCAGAGCGCCCTGCGTTGCCGCGGAGCGCACGGGCACCAAGGAGTTAAGCGGTTAATCCGACCGGGAAGAAGACAAGCGACTGGTTGCTGGTGTGTCAGTCAGTCCGTCCATCATGGCGGGGCGGAGCCCAGGGTTGGAGTGTCCTCGCCGCTACCCCTGGCCAGGGGAGGTTGTGGATAGTAGGTCCCGGTGCCACGGGCACGGTGCCTGCGGCCGGCAGCGGCAGTGTGCGGGAAACTTCCTGCGGATGGGTCCGAGGATGGCAATGGTGTGTGTCCGGGGCGGGGTGTGCACGCACGTGGCCCCTTCCGAGGGTTGTCTGTGTTTTCGGTGTCGGCTGGAAGTGTGCGTGTGCACGTGGTTGGCTGCTGCGGGCTGCCTGTTTCTCTGGATTTCGCTGTGTATCTGTGTGTATGTCTGTGGGTGAAGGATGTGTGCGCACGTGTGCTTCCTGTTTGGAGGGTGTGCGCCTCTACAGGGTCTGTTCCGGTGGCCTGGGAGCTATGTGTGTGTTCCCACGCGTTTGGTGTGCTTTGTGGTCCATGCGTGTGTGCAGTCGGCGATGTGCTTGCGATTCAGCCTCCGTCGTCTGACCGTGGTGTCTGAGTGCGTATAAGTGTGCTGGTGCCTTGGGGTGTTTCTGGGGTGTGTTTCTTTGGTTCCCGTGTGGCTCCGGGAGGACACCGTGGCCACTAGCCTGGCTGCCAGCCCACTGCTCAATTTATCTCTGTCTCTTTTAAAGTGTTTCTGCAGGAGGTAAACTGAGGCAAGCTCGCCGCAGCCGCGGAGAGCACCCGCCTGCCCCTTTTAGGCTAGTAAACAGCCGCGCCTCCTCCTGCGGCCCCCGCCAGCAGAGCCCCCCTTCCGGCACCTAAATCGGGAGTTGCCGTGACTCACGCTCCCGCTTCCCCCAGCGCCGCGCCAAGCAAGCAAGGAGTGAGCGAGCGGGATCTGAGCACCCCCACCCCCCACCCCCGGCCCGTGCCGAGCCGGGCAGGTGGCTGGGCGTGGGGCGAGGGGCGCGCACGCGCCCTGGTGCCCCTCCCCCAGGGCCGATCCAGGAGCCGCGCGAAGCCGCCCCAGTGCGCATCCGAGGGCAAGGCCAGCGCCCCCGAGCGCCCCTTCCCACGTGCTCCCTGGGGCAGACCGCGCTGTCTGCCACCGCCCCTCTACCCCGGTGCTGTACTCATTATAAAAAACTGCCCGTCTCCAACCCCCACAGCCGCTTTTCTTCCCGCCGAAGGGGGCTCCAAGCGTGGGCGCACGCGGAGCAAAAGTCAGCCCCCCCCCCCATCAGAAGCTGCTGGGTGTCGCAGAGGCCTGAACTGTGCTCCCCACTTCTCGCGGGGAACCCCCCAAGCACGCGCTCCAGAAGACTTCTGGGAGAATCTGCAAGGGCTGAGGATCGCCCCAGATTATTTGAGGGTCCTGGGCTGAGCCAAATTCTTGAGGAGGGGTGTTTGTAGCGTTGGCCAGACATTTGGAAGGGGGATGAGAACGCCCTGGATGGGGTGGGGGAGAGAGACAAGCCACAGCTGAGGTTGCCGAAGAACGAGGGCGGGGGCGAGAGAAGGCAGAGGGCCAGAGCTGGAGGTGGGGGCTGTGGCCTGAGGCTGGGATGATCAGGTGGAAAATGAAGGCGGTAGAGCCTTGGGGGTGGGGGGTGGGGGGAGGCGCGAAAGACAGTCACTTCCTCCCCTCATCTGGAAATGAACCATTGTACGAGGACCCAAGCAGAGACCCTGAGTAGATAAACTGGGTAAACTGGGGGCGGCGGGGGTGGGGAGGCTGCAGGGAGCAGTGGCCTGGGGAGAGCACTGGTGTAGGGACAGGCCAGCAGCCAGGGCCAGCTCAGCTGTCTGCCTTTAAGACTCATTCTTGGGCCAAGACAGGGGTGGGGGTGCTCTTGGAGGACCCCAGATGAGAAATAGCAAGAAGGTGAAGGCTGAAGCTGGGCTCAAAGACCCTCCCAGAAAAAAATGCCCTCCAGACCTCCAGGATCCCACTATCCCCTCTGGAAGTGAAAGAAACCGAATCCTTCCAGCAGGGAAACGCCGGCCCACAGCGCACTCGTCAGAAGCCCAGTCCCCAGCCTGTGCTCGCTCGGTGAATGTGGGGGCATTGCTGGTGGCAGGAGGTCTGAACCCGCTTTTCTCAATCCTGCCCCCAGCAGAATCAGGCAGCTGCAAAAATGGAAGAAGGGGTTCCTAGAGGCTGCAAGAGGCGCCTTGGGGGAGGGGTACCACAGCCCGACGGTCCAGGCTTCAGGGAGCCTGGAGCTCCAGAAGGGCTGGTGACTGGATTAAGCCCAGGTGGCCCTGTTCCTCCTCTCTTTCCCCCATCCTAGCCAGGTCCCTCTCGCGCCTACCTGTCGGCCTCCGCCCTGGTGATGGAAATCCGCGGCGGGATCAGCAGCGGCAGCGTGGTAGGCCGTGGCGGTAGAGAGACCCCAGGGTCCGAGGGCTCAGTCTGGGCCCAGCCCAGGCCAGGACCGGACGAAAGGCGGCGGCGGGGGCGGCGGAGGTCGGCCCCCAGCATGTTGTAGCAGCCGGGCTCGGGGATCTCCCGCAGCCTCTGAGGAGGAACAAGGGCGGGATGGGGGCGCCGCATAGCTGGACAGCTCTGAGCCCCAACCCCCAGGAACGTCCCCACCCAACCATCTGAGGACGTGGCTGATGGGGGATAGGCCCTCAGTGCCCTTCTCACATCTAAGCCACTCGCTGACCCCTCCCACCAAAGGTCCCCTCCACTCCTCACATCTGGGGAGTACTTTCTCAGCCATAATTTTTGTGGGGCTCTCTCTCACTGTCCCAGCCCTGGGGCTCTGGGTCCTCAAGTCAGTGCACTCTTGTCCCTCACGTCTGAGGCCCCTCTAACACCTCACTTTTTAGGTCTTTTTCCATGCTCCAGGGAGCAACCTCTTGTCCTTCATGTCTGTGGCCCCTCCCACCCCTCACATCTGAGACCCTCATGCCCAGCGCCCTCCTCCCATCTCCTCCCCACAATCCTCTCCCCATTTGGGAAGCCCATTGCTCTCTGCTCCTGGTCTGAGAGCTCATAATGCAGGCAGCAGGAGAAGAACGGAATCAAGGATGTAAACGGAGGCACAAGGGAACGAGACAGCCTCGCAGCTTCGAGGCAGTGACGCCACGCTCAGGAAACCGCGATCACCAGAGGGCGTCCGTCTTTTCCCCGTGACCCATGCCCCGCCCCCGCCAGACCCCGCCTCTCGCACCTCGTCCCCCGTCCCGGCCACCGACAGGACACTGCGACTCCTCTTCATCCCGCCAACTTAGAGCGCAGTGAGGGATGCAGGGGCCATGGCGGCTTCGGCCAGCGCCTCCTGCAGGACCAAACCGAAGGCATCCGCCATTAGCGCCCCGGGGCTCCCCCTGCCGGTCAGGCTTGGAACCCGCTCCCGCCCCGGAGCTGATGGCCTCTCTCGGGGCGTGACGTCAGCAGGCGGTTGACGCACTGCCTGGCGGTGACGTCGCCCGCCCGTTACCAGGGCTACGGCTGACGCACGGCTGGGCTGTGGACAGCGTCAATGCCCAGCTTGGCCGCTGGGGGGCCGGGAGCCTCCGGGCCCGGGTTGCCCCAGCCCCCACCTATCTTCCCGCGGGGCTTTCCCCGGCTCGGGGATCCCGCAGAGAAGACCAGGAGCTCCCGGAGGCGGCCGCGTGTGGCGCATGGTCCGAGCTGGGGGCCGTAGGAAGCGTCTCCTCCGAGCTGTTGGGCTTTTATGCCTAAACCCGAAATAACTCTGATGTGCGGGGGCTGGGCGCAGAGAGACGGCAGCATGGGCACAGATGGGGGACGCGCAAGCAGAGGCGCGCGGAGACAGACAGGGTCGCGTGGAAATAGAAACAGACAGGGACAGAGACGCAGCTAGCGATGATGGATGCGCGCTGCTGCAGCCGTTGCAAATCTAAAAGCTTGGGGTAGAGAAGGCTGGCCCACTCACTTTTGCGCCCAGGCGCTGCAGATTATTGCTGTGTGGCCATGGGTCAGTGGCTTCAACTCTATGAACCTCACTTTCTCTTCCGTGTACTGAAATGATAATCTCTGCGGGGTCCGTGTGAGACTGCGATGAGATCATATTTGAAATCTCACAGAACAGTGTCTAGCACTCGGTGCCAGAAAAACCATTACCGTGGAGTCGATGCCGACTCACAGCGATCCTCTAGAACAGAGTAGAACTGCCCCCATAGGTTTTCCAAGGCTGTAATCTTTGAAGTATGGTATTGGGGAAGAATATTGAATATGGACTGCCAAAAGAACGAACAGGTCTGTCTTGGAAGAAGCACAATCAGAATGCTCCTTAGAAGCAAGGATGGTGACACTCTGTCTCACACACTTTGGACATGCTATCAGGAGGGATTAGTCCCTGGAGGGCATCATGCTTAGTAAAATAGAGGTTCAGGGAAAAAGAAGAAGACCCTTGATGAGATGCATTGACACACAGGCTGCAACAATGGGCTCAAACATTTCGACGATTGTGAGGATGGCGCAGGACTGGGCAGTGTTTTGTTCTGTTGTACACAGGGTGGCTGTGAGTTGGAACTGACTGGACAGTACCTAACAACAACAACAAGCTTCATGGAATCAGACCGCCACATCTTTTTCCCTCAGAGTGG